CCCCCCCCAGCGCCATTTATGCCGGCATCTAGCTGCCCTATTAAAAAAATAAAAATCTCTCTTCGAGTCAGCAACGCAGACTCGATAGTTTAAAAAGAAAAGAACAGAAAACTTTGGTCCGAAATTCACTTACCTACTTACTCCGCATCCACCTTGTCTAGACCTTGACTCCCCCGCCCGGACTCGTCCTCTTGATACCCGATCGTCGTTCTTTGATACCTCGGCTCTCACGGAAACTGAGAAAGACGGAGTTATTGGAGAATAAGTACCACAACGTTGTGTGATTTCATTCTGCAACGGTGGAAAACAAGAAAATATTTTTGATTTGATATGTAGTGAGATATGAAATAGCAAAAGCTATTAGCAAGTTATATAGCTGCTGTTAGATCTAACGGCCAGCGCACGCAAACTATCTGAAGCGACTTGTGTCAGCAATATAACTATTCTATAATTCCGATTTTGAGTTCCGTGAGAGCTTAGCTCCAGCTTTAGTTGCATCGGTAAATGCAAGACATAGACGACTTTCACATGACCAGCCCACTTGTTCTGCGATCGATGCTTACGTTACGCAACACCAGGAACAACCAAGTAACGTTTTTTAAGTTTTTATGTAATCCGGGGTACAGCTTACATGCGTTCCCCATATGCCAATGAGCCGTGAGCGTTGCACTAACCCAGAGCCATGCGTTCAGAGTGAGAGAGAGAGAGAATTGGACTCTAAAATCGTCGACAGGAGAGAGGACGTGCGCCATACGTGCAAAAGGATGACTCGCAGATTCGACTCGTTGTTTGGCTCCATCGTGCTAATGCCAATTTCGACCCTGCTAACCCGGGCGTATAGAAATTCTGCCATTACATCCGAAGCCGGCGCCCTCGTGCGGTTACGAGATCAATTGCGGGGACGGCGATTAACATATCAATGCGGGGATTGAGTTTTCGCATCCGCAAAGGGGTGTGTGGCAGCAGCTGGTCAGCGACGGCGAATGATACACGCACATTTACTACATCTGCACACGACATGATGGCGACACGGAATCGAGGGCTACCCCCGTCTCCCGTCTCCACAGCCCCTCCCAAGTGTCTTACGAGTATCATGTGGAGAGTCAGACTATATTCGGCCGAAGTTGATTCGGCAGACACGCTGCCGATTCCACGGTCTCCCACGCTAGATGCTATCCTGGAACAATAACGACCAGCACAACGCCCAAACCGGATCATCCGATGCGTCACGCATCCTGCTGCTGCCCCGTAATGCACTCTGTGCGACGAGGAACGCCAACAAGGATACCGTGCCACATTAGTGGGGGTGCTGGGCAGTGCAGACACCCGAAATGTATAATATATAGCAATCGTCTCGCACACGCCGACTTCTCCAGGTCAACCGCTTCACTCGACTCTTGCAACCATGGCCTTATCAGCATTGATAGAGCCCTCAGGCTTCAAGCTTGCGAGCTTGACGGGGCTGGCTGCTGTGGCTGCTGTCCTATTTGCCTTTGTGAGGCCATACTCTAGCGGGCAGTGATCAACGTGCTAACACCGTCTAGCTGGCCATCTTTGGCGTGTGCCATGTAGTATACAACATCTTCTTCCATCCTCTTCGACATATCCCCGGTCCTCTTTTCGCCAAGGCCTGGGGCATCCCTTACACGGTTCACTTGCGTACCGGCAACATGGCGCCCTGGCTCAAAGAACTGCACGAGAAATATGGCGAGGCCGTGCGTCTCGCGCCTTCTGAAGTCTCGTTCATCTCAGCAGAGACGGCATGGCAAGACATCTACGGCCACCGCGTAGGCCAGCACAAGGGTCTCCCAACCTTCTGGAAGGATGTCAACTGGTAGTAGGTGCATGCAGACGCCGCATGTAGGAGAAACATGGTAACAAAGAATAGTCCCGAGCCCGGCAACGGCGTACTATCCATGGTTAATGCCAATAATGAAGACGATCATAGCCGCATGCGCCGCGTCTTCAACAATGCCTTTAGCGACAAGGCACTCCGGCAACAGGAACCTCTAGTACGCAGCTATACCGATCTTCTCATCCAACGCATACACGAACACGCTGCCGAGGGCAAGTCCATGGAGGTGGTAACATGGTACAGTGAGTGTTATGTCGTATCCACTCTGATGCAGACCATACTAAAGCGTGAACGTAACAGATTATATGACGTTTGACATCATCACCGATCTTGCTTTTGGCGCACCTCTGCACTGCCTGCGCGACTCCAAGTCCCACGAATGGATCAGCATTGCGTATGCATCACTGAAAGCCGGCGGTCTCCGCGCCACACGCATGAGCTACCGTCTGGTCTGGTGGTACGATGCATTCCGCAGCCTGTTCATGGATATCGCAACCATGCAAAAGCGATCGCGCCTCTTTGCCGAAAAAACCAGCGAGGCAGTGAGCAAGCGCCTCGAGCAGCTCGAGCAGAACCCCAACGACGGCAAAGGCGACTTTGTGAGCTACGTCCCGCTGCACGACGACAAAAACACACGCAAAAATCTCTCCAGGAAGGAACTCGACACAAACGCCGTGCTATTCATGATTGCAGGCAGCGAAACCACGGCCACCACCCTCGCCGGCATCTCATTTCTGCTCCTCAAGCACCCCGATGCCCATGCCAAGCTCACGCACGAAATCCGGACCACGTTTGCGGCCGCTGAGGATATTACGTTTGAGAGAACAGCGCGCCTGGAGTACCTGACTGCCGTCATCACCGAGGCTCTGCGCGTGTACCCGCCGGTGCCCACGGGCTTTGCGCGCAAGGCCCCACGCGGCGGCGGCTTCGTATCTGGCTACTTTGTCCCAGAGGGCACCAGGCTGTATGTCAGCCAGCACGCGGCGAACCACTCGACACGCAACTTTGTCAATCCCGATAAATTCGCGCCAGAGCGCTGGCTCGGCGCCGAGGAATACAAGGCGGATAACAAGGCCGTTGCGAATCCGTTTAGCTTTGGTCCTGCAAATTGTATTGGGAAGAAGTAAGTTGCTCTCCTCTTCTCTTCTTCACTTCACTTTACTTCACTTTACTTGACTGCACCCTTACCAGCCTCTCCAATACGCCCCCTCATTCTGAGATATACATTTACTAATATCGGGTTTTTTCTTACAGTCTCGCATGGAACGAACTGCGCCTTGCCCTCGCACAAATCCTGTTTGAATTCGACCTTGAGCTCGTGGACAAGCAGCACGATTGGCTCAATGACCAGAAGGTTTTTACCCTCTGGGAGAAGAAGGATTTGCATATCAAGTTTAAGCCTGTTCGTGGGCGGACTTAGATGGCCCTCTCACCTCACCTTACCTCTTCTTTCTTTTAGCCACTTTCGTTTTTCTTCTAATCATTTTTTCCCCTTCTTTCTGCAATGTTGTTTAGATTGATTGCAGGTTTCTTTATTGTATATTGCTGTTATTAGCGGTACGCGGAAGTCTGCACTTCCTTCTTCTTCTTCTTTAAGTTTTTTTCTGTTCTTTTCTTTTCTTTTCTCTCCATGTCCTTTTGTTCTAACAACAACAACAACAACAACAACATCTTTCAAACACGCGCCAGGCTTGTGGCGTGGTGCCATCGGCACAGCGAAAAAAAAAGGGGGGGGGGAGGAGTCAAAAAAAAATCAATGTCATGGTATTTTGCAGAGCAGCAGCATACAAGACAGAAACAGATAGAGCTGAACTGGGGCAAAGCACCAGAATATAAGCAGAAAATGGCTACTGCTACACACTTAAATGTATGGCTTTTTTTGGGGGGGGAAATGTCGCAATTCGTCGTAAATAACACAAAAAACAATATAAAAGTAGGTGTGAGACAGACATACTACGAGAGACATACTCGGAAAAAAAAGAGATGAAGCTCCTGCTAAGCCCACGGTATATTCGTACTACGTAGTTTGCAATTGCAAAATTTTCCATCAGGCTTACTTTTCTATACTTTAACCACTTAACTCAACCTTTTTATTCTACTCTACTTGTATCGCTATTTCGCTCCGCTTAGCTACTTTATTCCAAAAAAAAAAGAAGAAGAAGCCTTTGTACTTCCTTGACTCCTATCGCGCTCCACAACCATAACCACCACACACACGCTGATAACAATATCAAATCCACTGCACTTGTACTTGGTTTCTCTATATTTATGAAACAAAGCTAGTTGATAACAATCCGCTTAACTTTAAATCCCAAGAAGTATACTTATGTATTCACTCTTTTTTAAACCCCCCCCACCCCTAAATCGTGAAAATCTAATAAGTTATTCCACTTACTCACTTACTCAAAAAAGAAAAAAAACTGTAAATCATAAATACTTGAGCTTGAATTGTGTGGGGTTTTTTTTACTTTGCTGCTACTTACTTACTTACTTAGTTTACTTACTTGGCTCTTTCAACTCATATTTCCACTTACTTACTTGCTTACTTTGCTTTGATAGAATCGTGCGCGGCTTTTTTTTCTCGCACTTGGAGAAACACTGTTTGCCATGAAAAATCCCGTTTAAGTTTTTTTTTTTTTTTTTNTTTTTTTTTTTTTTTTAACTTTGGCTGTATAACTATATATATCTTTGTATAACTATACTTGATTGGAATAAGCGTGTATTTTTAACTTGGCTGTCCCTGTTTCTCTCTCTCTCTCTCTATATCTATCCAACTACCCTATTGCACCAACCTCTAAGTATGTAAGAATTTCAATCCCCCGTTGGTGCTTACCGCTAGGATCACGTCATTTTTTTTCCTTCCTTATCTATGATTTCATCCTTTTTTTACGCGAAGAGGACTTGGGTATTACTTGTAATAAGTAATACATTGACTAAGTTTTTTTTACTTATCTATTTTACTCAAAATAAGCGTAAACTTACTTTAGCATCTCCCTCCCTCTCTCTCTCTCTATTCCTTCGCGCAGTCGGAATTCTACCTGAACGCCCGGGTGTATGCAATTTAAAAAAAAGAAAAATTCTTACCCTTCCCCAATCGGAGCTTTTTTTTACCATGTGGAAACCTAGTTTCGGTTTAGGTAGCCCTGTTTTGTTCTTTTTTGGGGGATGGGGGGAGGGCTCTCGGTGTGAGCGGATATTAATCACGCAGCCGGGGTACTTGGTAACTTAATCTCTCTCTTTCTCTCTCTCTATCATGCGTTGGTAACGCTAAACAGAGTTTGGCCTGGTTGTCTATGTATTCATGGATGTATGTATGTATGTATGTATGTATGTGGTATGCGCATCTATGTCGGTGCCTTACGTACAGACACCCCACGTTATATAAGTATGTGAGTTTGATACATATAGATGGCATCCATGGCTATAGCAGTCACACGCGCATCTACATACCTAGTACATCTGCACCTGCATCAGCACCAGCACCAGCATCAGCACCAGCATCTAAGCGTCCGTGAGTGCGTGAGTCATTGAGTCCCGATTTACGTGTCATCCTTCTGCAGCGCTAAAAAAAAAGAGGGGGCCACTGCAGAGTCCGTGTGTTGGGAATATATATATAGCTTATATACAAGTACATTAGATAATTTAGCTTTAGCTTTTTGGAAGGACCCTAAGTAGAATACAGTCAGCAATGCTTACTAGCCACACCCAATCCCCCCTTCCACAGACACCGACAGATCAACATGGGAGAAACTTACAGATATACTTTTCTTGTCCTTTTTTTTTCTCTCTCTCTCTCTCTCCGCCTCACCCCTATCCAAAGCCAAACGCAGCAAACCCCCCCTAACTCAAAAAAAAAACCCAACAACACAGAAACAACCATACAACAAAAAAACCAAGAGAACACGAGGATTATGTCAGCCCTTGTCAGCCCCTAAAGCAAAATATATATATATATATCCTTAATGCCCTGCATGCATTCGTCCATGCATCTATATCCATGCGCACAGCCCTCCCCCCCCTCCTTAAAAAAAAGCGCGCGAATCACTCACTATACAGTACTGTAAGTAAGCACTAAGTAAGTAGCAACACGTAATCAACATGTATGTAAGTGTGTCCTATGTACGTACAAAGGAAAAAGAAGAAGAAGATTTCCAGATAGGCTATATATACAGCGGAAGATGCCAGATTAGCGGACGGATATTGTGTGGGGTGGAGGGAGCGGTGTGTGTGTGTGTGAAGATATATGGTGTATGTATGTATGTATGTACTGTAGGTAAGTTTGGGGCTAGCTGGGCGGGGATAAGGGTAAGTGTATACGATGTGGTAATGGTAACGGTAACAGTGCTATGTGGTGTGGTAAAGTGCGGTGTGTGCACACGTGTGTGTGTGTGTGTGTGTGCATGTGTGTGTATGTGTGTTATTTACAGATTTCCCAGGCTGCTCGACGGGCTAGTCAATAAGTTTTGCTAGCTTACTACATACATGGTAGTTTTGCGGGGAGAAGTGTTAGGGGTTAGTGACGCGGGGAAGCAATTACGGAGATGCGGGATGGATGCGGGATGTGAGATGTGTTGTGAGATAGGGCGATAGGACCTATGTGTATGTGTGTATGTGTGTGTAAGCGCTTATCAGTTTTTTTTTAGGTTAACGTGGTTCATAAGCGAGTCAGTCACCCAAGCGAGTCGGTCACTCCCCACTAGCGCGTCGACGTTGATACTACAACGCGTTATGTCTTAACAACACAACTATTAATTAACTTATCCTGAATTAGATCTTTAACTTGCTTTTTTTAATATCTAATGATAACGTGTTTAAAGCTAAAGACGCGCTGCCTCTATCTATAACGTGCCTTAAAGTACAATATCTAATTAACAGGCTAGAAAGCGCCCCTAATAGAACTGTAAATCAAATTCAAAGCGCCTAAATAAGTTAGAAGAGGAGGCTATTATTAGACGTATTTTTAAAGAGTCTGCGCGTGGATTTGCCCCTATAAAGGCTAAGGTTTAAGCAATAGCTAATAAACTATTAGAGGAGCGTAGTGGCAACCCTATTAGCAAGAATTAGGTTAACAACTTTGTTAGGCGGACTGCTAAGCTCTATACGCGCTAGAGCTGTCCCTATAATCACTAGCAAGCCGCCTATAAGGACCTAGTAGCTATCTAGCGCTAGTTTAACTTAGTCTAAGCGACAAGGTAGAAGTAGGGTATTATAGACAACAATATTTATAACTTTAACAAAACTAGCTTTATAATAGGTAAGATTTTATTATAGTTATTAATTATAGCATTAGAAAGATATAGGAAAAAGAAGTGGATACAGCTAGGCAACTGTAAGTGGGTTACTGTGATCTAAGGCGTGGCCGCGTTAGGTCGCTAAATACCACCCTTTATTGTCTTTGCGGGCAAGGTGCTTATTAACGTCTAGTTTAAGGATTTGCCTGCTAACTAGGTTCTTAAAGTTAGTCCTAATAGCTAGACGAATAATTAGCTTAGTCTTGCCTAGTTAGAGCACTTTAATACCTATACAAAGAGCTCTACTATAGGTGGGTATTAACTGCTTATTATTAATAGCTATAAGAGCCACTGCTCTATTGATTTCTAAGATCTTTGCAAAGAGAAGAATATTATGCTTCTCTGCATGCCTGCGCACTCGTCTTACCTATTGCAGCCTCTTAACGTCGCCTGCTTCTCGCCGTTAAAGCGCAAGTATGGCGACGCTATTTTAGGCTTAGCACGTAACCGCACCTACTATATTAGCAAAGAGACCTTCCTACTAGCCTTTAAGACTGCTTTTAAGCAGTCTATCACAAAAGAGAATATCTAAGCTAGCTTTAGAGGCGCTAGTCTAGTCCCACACAACCCACAGGCTGTGCTATCTAAGCTTGATGTGGTGGTGTAGACACCTATACAATTACCACGATAGACAGCCGCCTAGTAGGCGCAGACTGTAACGGGCTAGGTAGCCCGCTACAGTACAGATAGCGGTGGCTATCTTATGTATCAACTACGCAACGATATCAGCAGCTCTGATATCTTGTGCCAGCCTTTTTGGCGCGGTGGGCGCGTTGTAGTTGCGTGCGCAGTCTAATAGGACTCGACCCGTTACACTTAGAATTTTTATTCTAAGTAAGCTAGTGGCTTCTAAGGTATTTATACTATTTTTATATAACGTATGTAAATTATTGAAATATTATTAATATTACTTAATTACTATATTACTTTTAAGCTATAACACTACTTATATTATTAAAACTACTAAATAGCTAAATTACTATATAATCAAGTTAGACTTTAGTAAAGATATATTTATTTAAAAAGGTCCTAATACTAATTCTAATACCTTTAGTAAATAAAGTAATTTTAATAAGCTTAATAACGTATTCCATCACCAAGCGGGCCACATCACTAAGTGTGCCACTTTTTCTTAGCATCACGAACTTCACGTACAAAAGATAATGCCCCAACAATAGAACGCGATATTAACTTAGTAAGAAGGTAGGCTTACTCTAGCTATTTAGGCCTATTGTATAGGCTAGTTTAAGAGCATTTAACGCGCTGTAGTAGCCTATAACGTCTATTATTAGTAGATCTCTTAGCAGCTTTAAGGAATTACCTTTTAACCTATAATATTGTAAGGGGCTGCGCTCCG